CCGAGAAAGGAGAGAGTGGTACAAAACTAAAGCTGCCACCTCTGTGGGGAAGGCGGGGTGTGGCAAGGCTGGCACTAGAGGCAGAAAAGACAGAGAAGGGCACTCACAGTGCTGGCCCCCAAGATGCATCTCCTGGAGAGAATCCGTCCCCTTGAGGATACCCCAGGGAATCCCCCTCTGCATGCTCTTCTTGAGGTTTTTAACCCCTTTGTCCCAGAGCTGTAGGGTGTGCCTGGCCATGGCAGCCTTCTCTTTGGCCAGAATTACCTGACAGGGCCACAGGGGAGAGGAGTGGCCTAGTTGGGAGATAGGGTGGGGCAGCCTTGCTTGGGTGCTCGACCCACAGGACAGTCCTCCCACCTAATCTGAGCAAGGCAAGCCTTGAGAACCAGAGCACAGGAAGGTTCAGGTAGCCCAAGCACATCCCCATTTAGTCCGGGATCTGCCCTGGTCAGGTCAGGGTCATTCCTGTTAGCATGGGGTCAGGCCCACTCAAAGCAGGGTCACCCTTGTTGGCCAGGGGTCATCCCTTTTTAGCACCAGGTCTCCACTTTGGCGCAAGGTCACTCTGTCTTGCAGAGTCAGCCCCTAACGGAGGGTCATCCTGGAGTGGGGTAGGGTCACCTGGGTTAGCATAGGGTCATCTCTATTAGCGTAGGGTAAGTACTGATCTGCACAGAGTAAGCTCCTGGGACTTTGGGGCCGGTGGCGCCCTCAGGTGGCTGAGCCCGGCCGGCGATCGGGATCCAGTGCCCGGGAGGGTTTCAGGAACCTCGTCCCTGAGCTCTCCACCCTCGCTTCTCTCACACTCAAGCGGGGAACCTCGCCCACTCGGCCCGAGCCTCGCCCTTCAGGAATTGCATCCGTTTCCGAATATTCTTTGCATGCATCTTTGGAACTCTTCGGCTCACAGAATGCAATGTATTGCGTAAGCGCATCTGAGACCAAGAATCCGAGATGTAGGCGGAGAGACGGTTCATCCGCAAACTCCAGCCCCGCTCCAGGGAAGCTACCGCAGCTCTTTGCTCTGCTTTTGGCTCCTCCCCACTCCCCCGGGTCTCAGAGCCCACACCCCTCTGTCGACTTGCCTCTGAGAGCGCCATCAAGTTTTCAGGTTTGCTCCTAAAGGTGACATCTGCGGAGAAAGCGGAGCCACAGTCGTTTTCCCATTCAGGCTTTAGAAAGGCTCCGTTCTCCTCACCCTCCCCGCTCTGGTTCCAGTCTCCCAACTCCCATGGGGTGTTTGGACTTTCTGCACACCCCAACATTCTAGTCCTGACAGGGCTTCCAGAAAGAAGGTCCACAAGGGTCTGAAGTAAAAGGGAGTCAGGGTAAAGGCACCCTTTCGTTTTTTGTGCCACCCCATCCCAGCACCGTCACAGTCATAATCGCTAGGCCTGAGAGCTCCGCCAGAAGTGAGGTGTCCACTCACCTTCATACTCATCCGCATGCCCCTCCTCCATGAACTGGGCAGAACTGGGGAATGATGGCCTTTCCCTATGACAGATTTCAGCTCACCAAACAGAGAAGGTCACTCACAGTGCTGCCCCCCCCCCCTTCTAGGGCCCTGCCAGGGGAGGAGAAAATCCAGGATCCTAAGTGAATCCAAAAGGAAGGGAGCCACTCATCCCGGGCAGGTATGGGAGTGGGAGCCCCAGGAAATGTGTCTGTAGAGTTCAGCACAGTCCCATTCAGCACTTTCACTGAGAGAAAGAACGGGGCTGGAGAAAAGTTCCTCAGCAGAGGGGTGGCAGGGAGGCCAGGACCTGAAGATGAATCCAGGCAAACTTATTTCTCTGAAGTCCAAAGAGGAGGGGAAGTACTACCCCAAGGTCACAGTTAGCATTCTGGAGAGATCCAGTAATCTTTCCTCCTCCTTCTCTATCCCATCATCTTCACAATAGGTGCTAGGATGCAGAGCCAGGATGGAGAAAGAGAAACAAAAGCCTGGCAACTTCTAAGGATGTGTAGAAGTCAAAATCCTTAATACTGAATTTGTGTACACACACACTTACCTACACCCACACATACCCCAACACCCCCCTCCCACCCCTCCAGTTCTGAACCTCTAGCAAACATCCCTGCCAGGAAGAAATGGCTCCAGAGGGCTGCCTAGGGTCTGGACCAGATTTTCTCCCTTTAGATTTTAGATTTTCTCACTTTGTTAAAGGCCTGAGCACAGGAAATAAGGCTCGGATTGGTCGACAGATTCTCAATCAGACTTGCAGAAATGATTTACTGACTACTATCTCTTCCTTGCCTCCAAGCAGGTTGCTGGTGCCAGAATTTTGGTGCTGCCTGGGGCCAGGGGTAGGACTTAATCACCTCCCCCAACTCCCACTTCTGCCCTGAAACAGGCAAAGAGGAGTGACACATGCTCTTGCTAGTCTACACACCTCCCTTCTGCCACTAGCACCTCACTCATCTAAAGACAATCTAGTTCATGTCTTGAATTACCTGGATAATTGTCTTCTGTACAGCATCTCGATCTCAATTTTCCTCCCATCCTGCCACTGGGAAGAAAAGGAAATTCAGAAGTCCAGTGACACTTAGGATTTTCCTAGAATGTAAGGGGAGATGCTGGTTTTTAAGTCTCCTCAAAATAACTGGATATGTGCCTTAACTATCTATGCTGGTGTATAGGGGTTGTAGGGTACAACTGCATGCCCCAGAACCTACTGAGCAATTTTGGTAAAGCTCCACCCCTCACCCCTTTCTAGACCTGTTTCCCCATCCATACATTGTTAGCCTTGGCTGCTCGGCAAGCTCTGCTGTTACAGGCTCTACAGTCTGCACCTGCACCTTTGATTTGTTATGGAAAAGAAAGTTTCCTTAGAATGGAAGGGAAGGCTCCAAAGCCACCTAGGAACTGCTAGTCAAGCCCTCTGTGCAACCTGGAGGGGAGGAAGCTAGCAGCACCAGGCCAGAAAGCAGGCAGGGGCCAGACAATGAAGCCTCTTGGATAATTTGAAACAACCCAAATTCTGAACCCAGGCAGGCTCAGGGGGTGGACATGATGGAAAAGAGAAGAAGCAGGAACCTGGGGTAGGCCGTCAGCCTACTCCCCTGCCAATTGCACTCTTCAGCAGATTTGCTTCAGGCTCCATGTTCCCAGTCTTGTCTACAGTGGGGGGAGCTGAGGACAGGTCCCAGTCTTTGCTAAAAAATAAAGAGGCCAGAAACTCAAATCCCTTCTTTCTCATTTATGAAGGGATCCATTCCTAATTCTTCCACTCCAATCCTCTCCACCCACATCTTCCAGCCTCTGCCAGAGCCACCCAAGGAGACTCACCACACTCACAGACTCACACAGATATAGTCACAAATACACATGCTAGCACACACATAATCACTTTACAAATATTCACCCCTAGGGACTGGGGGTGTAGTTAAGTGCTAGAGGGCTTGCTTACAAGCACAAGGCCCTGGGTTCAATCCTCAGCATCACCAAATAAAATAAATAAAAATTAAAATATTCACTTCTAAGCACAGTTGCCAGAGCACAGTGATATATACCTATCCCCTCTGGCACACACAAACATAAACACAATCACAGACCCCAAATACCAAAAAGCACAGACACACTTAAAGGCTGTGATATCATCATAAAGTAGAAATCTACATTCTTAACCCTTAAAGCACCAAACGTTCTTTTTTACATCAAATATCGGATAATCATTTGTTTTGCCTTTGTTTCAGTTTTCAACTTCCCAATTAGACTGCCTGCAATGATAGGAGGCAGATGTTCACTCTGTACCTCCAGGACACAATAGGTGAGCAATAAGTACAGGAGCCGGGTAAGGGAGACAAGGAAGGAAGGAAGGAAGGAATATTGGTAGGTAGGTGTGAGCCAGACAGGAAAGAGATCTCCAGGCTTGGGTGAATTAACTCGCCTGTGTTTGTTAATTCACCCCTAATTGATGCTTATCAGCTAACTTCTCAGAAAAACTGCTCCTGATTCTGGCCCCATACTTTTCAGCTAGCGGAGGGATCTTGAGACCGAGGTGAGGGGTGCTCCCATCCGAGGCCAGAGAGGCCGCCAAAGGAACCCGGAAGGAGCTTTGCAGTCCGACTGCCCTTGCTTTGCACACTTAAGACCCCTGGGTTTGCAAATGTACACAAATGACCTTCAAACCTCCCACCTGTCAGGGGCTTCACACAGCCAGGCTGGCAGGGACAGCTTGACAGGGTAACCCGGCGCAAAGTCGGCCCACCAGTGTCGCGGGCCCTTGGCTTCTCTCCATAGCTGCGTAAATGACCGGCTGAGTCACCTCGGCCTGGTCCTTTCCGTTTGAAAAGGGTAAGGTGGAACCTCTGGTCCTCAGGACCCTCTTTTTTCCCCCGCAGTCTGTGTTCTAGACTAATTTAAGTGATAGCCTCCTTAGTTGCCCTCTTAGACTGAAATGACTCAAAGTGGGGAAGCGAGACCTATCCCCCCAAAAGACTGGACATTTGCATACAACTAGTAGTTGAGACGCGAACCCGTAAGGCCCAGGAGAAGCAGCCAGGAGGGAAGTTCGGGAGGAAAGCTCGGGCTAGGGTGAGAGTGAAGCAAGGTGGACTCCCCACCCTAGCCACGATCCAGCATATTTACATCTGAATGGGATGGGGCAACTTAGCTCTGGAGTCCTAAGACACCTGCTTGGGTGGAGAGCACGGGGCGCAAAAAAAAAAAAAAAAAAAAAAAAAAAAAGTTGGGGGGTGTCCTCTGTAAGCGATGGCGAATTAACAATAAAGCCCACTCCTGTACCCTCACCGCTTCCCGGTTATACCGCCGCACACACTCTGACCGTGTCTACACAGATAACTTCAAATGCACTTTTCAGGTCCTCAATGATTTTAGGATGAATTTAAAATTTTTGTTGCCCCAACAATTTTTTTCCAGTCCTAGGATCCGTGAGCCCTAATCCCAAAGAAACTTCTGCCTGAAAGAGAAAATGCCCCAGACGTGAAACCAGCCTTGGACATTTTTCCGACTTCTAGGAAAACTGAGCACAGACCTCCAAGGTGCCGGCTTCCAGTGGTGAACTGCCCAGGACTCCAGTAGCGGTGACTTGAGCGCATCCTCCTGAGGCGCCCGCGCTAGCGAATTTTGACCGCACTCCTTGGGAGTCGACTGTCTCGGAATCACTGAGCGGAAGTAGAGGGGTGGTGAAGACCAGGAACCTTTCCATCCCCTCGGTGACGACGAAATTTCCGCGAGGAGACTAAAGAGCCTGGAGGAAGATACCTGGCGGAGACCCTTGCTGCATTGAGAAACGCAAAGTCGCTACTGCGAGAGATTTCCTCTGGGAGTCCGCTTGCAGCGAAAACACAGCGATCTGCAGGGACCCCAACTCAAAACAGGGGGCCCAGCCAGGGTCGGAAACAACCCTGAGGATGTCAGCGCTGAGTCAAGAAGCGGGGCGCAAGGGAGGAAACAGACTTCCTTCCCCAGCAGACCGAAGCCTCCAGGTCCCCCGAGCGACTGCAGCTTCGGACTGCAGCGCTTGCTCTGCTAGGGAAGGAGGCGGTGCCGACTAGGCTCCGCACCAGCCGCGCCCACCAGCCCGCGAAATATTTTGTTCTCAAAGCCACAACTGGGACCCTCGGTCCTCCCTACGTATCTCTCCGTTGGTACAATACGTATCTACGCCGACCTTTAAAAAGCAGAATAATTCTCAACCCCCACCCCCCAAATCTAACCAGCGTTTACTCTCAAATACCCTGACAGGCGAAAGACTTGGGAGGTTGAATTCTCCTGTCCGGCCACTGCCCACCTTTAGTTTTCTTTCAGCGTGTCTCTAGAAATCTCGTAACCCCAGCCCCAGGGACAAACGTACGCTGGGTCTTATCATGTGTTGGTTGGCTACCCTAGACCCAGCTACACAACCTTTTAAATCACGTATCGGAATAGTTTAGGCGCAAACCCAAACTCGCCTCTCTTCTCTTCAACCGGGAGCCCAGGGTTCGAAGTAAACGCCGAATTCGGTCCGTAAAGACCGCAGGCGAGCTGCCTCCTCCCACCCCTCACTAAGCTCCAAACCATACTAGGCACACTCCGCACTCAGAATCTTTTCTCCCTTTCTCTTGCAAGGTTCCTCGTTTAAACAGTGTCGGCGCCTTTATTCGCCTGACTCTGCGCGCAGGAAAACCCGCCCGGTCGGTCATTGTCTGGTCTGCCACCGCCCCCGCCCCCGCCCCAATCAGTGTCACAAAACGCCCCTTTCAACAGATTCCAAACCCTCTTCACCCGGGCGCACCGAGCCTTCAACTTCATTAAGTGAGCGCTAAGGCGACGCGGGAGGAGGCGAAGTTTAAATAAACCCGAGCTGAGAGGGAGGAGGGGTGGGCCTGGGGAGGTTTGCTAGTTGAAGGGGGGAGATAGAAGTGTTTTTGAAAAGGGGAAAAAAGTCATCAGGGGAAAAGCGCTTTGTAACCACGAAGACGCGCCCGCTGTGGCGAGAACAAATTGGATATGGAGGGGAAGTGTCCGCTCCCCCCCCCCGCCCCAACTCCGGCTCCTGGGTGGTCTGGGGAGCCCCTGGAGAAAGGGGGGGGGGGAAAGATGGGGAGGAATAGGCGGTGAAAAGAATTAACCGCTTTAATTGGGCTGCAAGAGAGAAGTGCGGGGAGGCTTGCGGATGGGCCTCGATCACCCAAGCCAAATACTCTTCGATAAAATAGAATGTCAGCCCTTAGCGGTGGCTGAAAAACGCATGTCAAAGTTGGAGAATCAAGGTTGTTCTTCACAACCATAGTAAGTAAGTCTGCAAGATGGGGAAAATCCTGCCCGGAAAGACCCCCTCCCCCTCCTTCTCCTTGTGGCCTTGGGCCTCTCGGCGCCGGATGAAAAGGAATGAAATTGAACGAAATTGAACGAAATGAAGTGAAATTGACCAGTGAAATTCGCCAATTTTCTTCCCCTTTAAACTTCCCGCTCTCAGCAGCACTCACTGAACCCTAGGCGGATTTCTTATCATTTTTTTTCTCACCTCGGAGAGATGAAGGTGTGCCCTGGATATTTTCTTATTATTGTCACCAATGGCTGAGGCCTGTACACGACAGAACCTCACGTGCCTCCACCCAGGCAAGGAGGGAACCCACTGGAGCTGTTCCCTAACGGATGGCCAGTTTCTCCTCCCAGGAGGCTGAGCTCCTAAGTGAGACAACACCCACCTTATGCAGCCACAGATTAGAAGGGAGTCACCAACTGAGCCCCCTCCACAGTCTGGAAGCAGCCGAAAGCCTAGAGGTTTCTACCATATAAATCCTGTAACTCATTCATCCTTCCTGCACTCCAGGTCCCAACTCACATGCTAACCACAAAACAATCTAAAATGGTCCAGAATTCCAAATACCTTCCCTCCACCCTGCCTTCAGCATGTGGAACCTTGTGGGCTCTCTTAGTAATTCTCTTCTGGGTAGTTTTCATGGCCAGTTGGGCATTAGTGGTTTCTCTCTGGCCCCCAACCTCAACTATAATTGTAATCTGGCCCAGGCCTGACCTTTCTGACCCTCTATAAAAGGAGGGTCTGAGTCCTGGGTCTGGGAGTCCCTCATGCACCACACTCCTTCAATTCCTGTATTTCTGCCTTTTCCTGACAGGAACCTTCTACACATAGAGACATCAAGCAATAGCCTCAAAAAAAAAAAAAAAAAAAAAAAAGATTCCCTCCGACTACCTCTCCCCCACTCTCTTACACACATATGCTGGAGTGTATACACACACACACACACACACACACACACACATACTTGACAAAGACACATCAAAAATCTGCTGCTTCTCCTGTAAACAGCACTTAGGGAAGTGTTTCATCTATCTATCCACCATCAGATATGAATTCTGCCTGACTTAATTTCTCTTTTCTAGAAAGGAAAAACCAACTGAGAAGTCTTTTACTTAAAACCCCCCAAATTAATATCTGGGCGTGACCTTTTCATGATCAATGAGATCACATAGCTGCAAAGGGCTTTATTGAGAGCAAACACACTGGGTGGGCATGCATGCACACACATACAGTCACATGTACCCTTCCTCAAGTAAAAAGAAATGAAAACAAACTTAGAGCAGTGGAAGTCAACAAAGCAGCCAGAGACCATTATCCCAGTATTAGCAGACATTTCCCAGTTTTTACCATTGAAACTAAGCTTACTTTGCCTTATCATTTGATAAAATGGTAGAAAGGTGGCCCACTGTATTCAACTCCCCCTACCATCACCACTACTCCCTTAGACTCTCAGCAAGATGGAGAGAGGGGTTCTGTCTCACCTCTGGCAGAGAACTTGCATTTATCACCTATACCTACAGACTTGTCTCTCCTCCCTTGTGAAGAGGATGAGAGACTTAGGAATCCCAACAACCCTTCCCAAACTCTGATATTCTTCCCAGCCCTATCCTGATTCACACCTTATTCTGATTCTATAGCAGCCTCTGCCCTCTAGTATCTTCTTCCTTCCTACTATTGCCAGTTGCTGGGATCCTAGCTGAAGAAGCCTTCATACTTCTCTCTGCCCACACCCTCAAGTTCTCTGCATCTGGGTCTCTGACCCTGTTTCTTCCTTTTCAGTCACTTGTCTCCTAACCCTTGCCCTCAAAATTGTGTGTATGTGTGTGTGTGTGTGTGTGTGTGTGTTTTATGAAGGCTGAACTGTCTCTTCGTGTATTTCCATAGTTCTTCTCTCCTAAGATCTCAGTGGAACACACAGAGAAAAAAGCGCAACAACTATCTCTGCTTCTTCCAAAGCATCACCTCACCCAAAGCATTTGCAAATCTGACTACAGGTAGTACCAAACACATGTAAAGAGCTGAGGGCTCGGTAAGCTGTGGGAGACTCCAATCAGACCAATGGATTTGCACTCAGGTAGTAGCTTCCAGCTATGAGCGTGGTTCAAGGGACCAGGAGTTTTGCCCTGGCAGACAGACCCCATTAACTCTCCTTTATCTCACAGTACACCTCTAGCCCTCTCAGGTGGGAAGAGAGTGAGGTTTCAGTCTCTAATTTCATACCTCCCATTCTGTTACCTATGTCAGGAGGGGCCAATTCCTAAAGGCCCTACAATGGCCAAAGAGAAACCTCTCTCCTCTCAGAGAGTGTAACCGAGTCAACACACACCCAGAGACAAATGTTCATGGACAAATGTAGAAATAAAAATACATATATTCTGAAAAAATAATATACACACACAAACCCAAACACAAAACAATCCAAGCTCCATAAAAGCCCCTGCACACATCTATACAGAGGCACACAGAATGTGCATCAAGAGACTTAACTCGCCCTGTACTCAGTGGATACAGTGTTCAAGAGCACTTAGCACCCAGATCTACCCAGGCCATGCTAAAACTAAACAAGAAGGAGGTAAGACTCCTCAGGTGCATTTGAAACAGAATCCATGTGCCCAATTCCATGGTGAAAACCTTCCTAGTACTGGAGTGAAAACGAAAGTGCTGGAGGGGTCACTGGCTTCCCAGAGACCTGGCCCCATTAGCAGCTGAAGGCAAACGTCACAGTGCCCCCAGTATCTGATAAGCCCAAACCCTCCTCTGCCTGCCTGACCCTTCCTCACTCCCCCTCTGCTGGGGAGCTTGGGGTCTTCTAGGTGAGCCCCCAACAAGGACAAGGGAGTGCAGGCAAGCAGACGGAGCTGGTGACTGCTGAAGTTCGCATATATTTATTCAATTGACACCAGTGGGAAGGGAGGAAAGAGACAGATTTTTCTTTTCTTCCACACAAACCATCAGACAATTTCACAGAGTCTTCCCTAAGCAGAGGTTTCTAAATCAATGCACACCAGTGGACAGAGAACAGAGAGCAGCCTGCTGTACAGATATTTACACATAATTACAGGACCCCCTGACACAGCTTGGTGCCCTTGCCCACCCCACCCCCACCTTTCCAGTCCCTGACCCAGACCCTCCTCTCCCACCCGACCTCATTGCCTTTAACTACAATAAATACCCCAGGGCCTGGGGCTGAGCTGGAGACTGAGAGGGTTGCTGGCCCTGGATGGCTGGCCCCAGCCGGCTAGGGGAAAGGGAAGAAGTTCCTTGAAAAGCACCCAAACATGAAAGAGAAAGGATTTTCCTCATGGAGTGGGATCTGGGGTTTCTGCAAAGATTGTGGAGATCCGCTGCTTCACCTCTCGGTTCAGCTTCGCCTGTGTAGATACTGAGCTAGGCTTCAGAGGGAACGAACTTCCTTGGAGAACAGGAAAAAAAAAAACTTTGAATTTTTCTTTTAAGCACAAGCGGATAATAGATGTTGTTAAATTATAATATTGGACAAGCAGGGTCGCAAAGTTGAGGAAGGAAGAAAGGGAGACCTCTCAGCGCCCTTGGTGTTTCTGGTGGGATCCGCAGGGCCTGGGCAGGCACGTCTCCGGGAAGGCATTCTTCCGGGGTTGCGGAGCGGACTCAGGCAGGGAAAAACCGAAGGTTCCCCACTCCCTCGTTTGCTGCTCAAACAGGAATGGGATCTTGGCTTGGGACCACTTAGCTTAAACCCAGGCCTCGCCCTGAGCGATGGAGCCCGCTTCGTCCCAACTCTCGGCGAGATTCTGAGCGTGGAACCTGAAGTGCCAAGTCACGCGCGCCGGCCCAGGTTGGAGACTCTTCATAAATAGACTCCCTGAGTTCCGCTGGGACCGCAGGAGCTCCCGGGAGAAGCTGAGTGCGGGCCTAACTGACCCTGAGCCCGCTGTGGTCAGAAGTGGCAGCCACTGAGGCCGGCGACTTTGCCGGCAAACGGCGGCCCTGTAGACAGGAGCGCGTCCCCAGGGTGCGAGAGGCGGATGTGACCGGCCACCGGAGCCAGGGCCGGGGCAGTCAGCATGGCCAAGACCTGGGCTTGACTCCCAGGTCCCGCAGCTGCCGTGAACGGCGATCCCGGGGACCCCTCGCCGCTGCCTGGGGGTGCTCCCCCGCCACCACCATGGCCCATGATGTGGTCTATAGAGAAGGAAGGCCTCTGCCCAGCGCCTGCGCCCCCGCCGCCCGCACCACCTCCCGCGTCAGTCTTAAGGCCCTGGCGCAGGAGTGCGGTGGACAGACCGGCCGCTGTGCCAGCTGCGGGAGGGCTCAGGGACGCGGGGTAGAAAGCTTTGGCGCAGCTCAACTCCGCGCCTAGGAAGGCGGGCAGGCCGGAGGGGCCCGGGCCCGACCCTGGGGCAGGCGCAGGGGCCGGAGCCGAGGCTGCGCCAGCGAACACCGAGGCCGTCGGAGGTCCGGGTGGAGGCGCAGCGGCGCGGCCTGGGGGAACCGACAGCTGGCAAGGCGCTGCTGCGGCAGCGGCAGCGAAAGCGAAGGCGTGCGGGTGTGGATGCGGGTGCGGGGCCGGCCCCGGTGGGGGTGCGCCATAGGCCGGGAGTGCCAGCCCGTAGCCATAGCCGTAGGCGCCGTAAGCGGCGAAGCCGGGCAGGAAGGCGCCGGGATCCCCGGCCGCTGCAGCCCCGCCACGCAACAGCAGCTCTGGGTGAGGGTGCGGGTGTGGATGTGGTGGCGGTAACGGCTGCCGCTTGAAGCGCTTGCGGCGCCGCAGGAAGCTGCCGTTGTCGAACATGTCGGCCGACTCCGGGTCAAGCGTCCAATAGTTGCCCTTGCCCGGGTTGCCCGGTTCGCGGGGGATCTTGACGAAGCAGTCGTTGAGCGAGAGGTTGTGGCGGATGCTGTTCTGCCAGGCGGGGAACTTCTCCCGGTAGTAGGGGAAGCGGCCGCTGATGAACTCGCAGATCTCGCTCAGCGTCAGGCGCTTCTTGGGGCTCTGCAGGATGGCCATGGTGATGAGAGCGATGTATGAATAGGGTGGCTTTACCAAAGGGCTCCGCGTCGCCGCGCCCCCCGACGGTGGTCCGGGCCCCGGCCCCGCCGCGCCCCGGGCCGCGGCCGCGCCTGGCCCTGGGCTTCCCGCTGAGGCCGCCGCCCCCCGGGGCGCTAGAGCGCGAGGCTCGCCGTCAGAGCTGCCACCCGACTCCTCCTCGTCTTCTGCTACGTCTGCCTCGGCTTCCTCCGGAGGAGGCTCGTGGCCGTGAGGGAGCACGTCCCGGGGGGCGCGGGGCCCGGAGCGGGCTGGGAGCTCCCCCCCACCGCTGCCGCCGCCCACCACGTCTATGTCTGCGTCGGCCTCAGACAGTGCGGCCGGGGAGCTCTCGGAGGACATGATCTCGCAGCAGCAGCTGCCCAGGGTCATGGTGCCGCCGCCACCGCCGCCGCGATCTCGGGCTCCGCTCCGGCCGCGGCTCCGGCTCGGCCGCGCTGCCTCTGGGGCGAGTGTGTTTTGCGCGCGGGCGGGGAGGGGGCGGACTGAAGCGGACAGGGAGGGGTGTCCCCCAGCTTCGCAGCGCCCCCTGGTGGCCTAACTCAGCCGGTCTCATCCTGCAGGACGCACCCAACTGGCCGCTCCCTCTGCTGCCCCGGGAGCCGGAACCGGGACCTACACCCACCGCGCAGGCGGAAGGAGCTGAGCCACCCCTCACCTTGGCGGGCGTCCGTCCCTACTCCCCCAGGGGTGGAAGTCGGGGTTCTCCTAAGCCGCTGCCTAAGGCGGAAGAGCCGCGGGCTTGGGGCGGAGCTCTCTGGGTGGGGCGGGGCGGGAGGGGACCCGCGGAGTGCCTTCAAGCAGGGGCCCGGCGGGAACATACCGCCGCCGCGGCGGGAGCTGGGTTCGCGTGGCTGGAGGCGGGTCCTCCCCTTCCCACAGTTCCCGCAAGTCCTCGGCTCCCGGGAACCTCTGCCTTCAGGGCGCTCAGTTCTTGGAAGTCAAGGCGGGCTCCAGCCAGAGCTGGTAGAAGTGGTGGCAGCCCCCGCCCATCATCTCCCCAAAGCAGCGTTCGGAGCCACCAGGGCCGAAACGCCGTTGGAACGCGAGCGGGAGCCTGAGACGTCCAGACCAGCGGAGCCCAAGCGGCTTCCGGCTCAAGGGGGTGAGTGATCTCGAGGAGGAAACCGGGCGTTCGCATCCTCGCGCCTCCGAGAGGTGAGAAATTCTGTCTGCTCCCCTTTCCTTCCCCTTCCCTTCAAGGCCTTCGCGGGGAGACCCAGGGAGTGCGCCGCCTGTTCGTGATCCCTCCCTAAAATTTCTCTGCTGTGGCCGTATTTCTGGGGCTCCGACGGTCTGTGACTCCGGGTTTGCCTGTACTATGACTGCTTTCGGTCTCAGCTTCCGTTAGTCTCTGTCCCTCTTCCTCGGTCAATCTCTCACCGTTTCCTATGGAAGCTGCATTTGTCTGAGTGTCTGTGGGTCTGGAAATCCCTCTCAGCTCCCCTCTCCCTTACCCGCAGTCACACTGAGGGCTACCTCCCCACTGCCCCTATGACCACTGGACAGGTAGCAGGGCCCCCTTGGAGACCTCCCTTAGCGAATTCTGACCTCATCCCCGGCACGTGTTGCCTTTCTCTCTAGGGATCTGGTGCACCTAAGGTTGGTTTAGCAGCTTTTTCAGCTATCTGGATTCCTGCCTATCCCATTAGGCCTCTTTCTCTTCTAGCCTCTCTCCAGGATCCAGAAAAAAAAGTCCGCTCCAGCTCCGATTGGGCTCATTTCAACCTCTGGGCGGTAGAAGGGGAATGGGCGCCGGACGTGGGCAAGAGCTGACCGCTGCCCTCACAGCGCCGCACAGTGGCCAAAGGTTGAGCATTGGCGGCCTGAGTCCCAGCTGCTAGCCGCTATTAAAAGCCGGTGTGTCCCTTTTTGGGTAATTTCCTCTTCTGAGCCTAAATTTCCTGGTCTGCATAGCAGACCTTAGAATGAGGCTGTTGGGGGCTCCAGTTGTGGCTTCACTACTTAGCGGCTTCACTTACAAAAGTTTCTTAAACTATTTAATTGTCTCCTCCTCTGTGAAAATTAAATTAAAAATACCTACTTCATGACTGGTATGTAAAAGTAACCATATTCCGGACTATTTATGGGGAGGGTAATGAAAGCATGTTACAGAATCATGGGACTCTGTTCTTTGGGAGATAAAGGGGTTAGGGGTAATGTAGTCTCTCACCTGGATCCCTAGCCCTGGCCCATCCCCAGACTGCTTATTGGTACCATCTCCAGTCACTGTGCTGAATTCAGTCCTCTGTAGCTAAGGTAGGAGCAGGGTGTGAGGGATTTTGCAGTCTAGTGGGCTGGTTCTTAGGAGGGTGGATGTGAGGGTGGACGAATTATCTCCTATTGAACAGCAGCATCCAATGACTGGAAGGGTTTAGTGTAAACCCAACTCCCTCATTCCACAGATGCGGCTACAGAGGCCCAGAAAAGGGTGAGAGGATTTGCCCAGGCTTCTGCAATAAGATAGAGCAGGACTGGTTTGCAATCCCTATCATGGAACCCTCACAGTAGAACTTTTGAGCTTCCTAAGCTAAGAGCAGAAGACAGTGGGAGACAGAGCTGCTTATATCCGGTGAGAATAAGTCATCTGGGACCTCTGACCAAAGAGATGCACTTGTTGTGCTGGGTCTACATAAACTGAACATTCTTGGAGAAAGAAGAGGTCCAATCCTCAAGTCAGGGAAGTAAGTTGGACAAGGACTAGTGGCCCCAGAATTTGAATTTCCTGGGTGGTCCAGCCCTACAAACAAACAAGCAAACAAAAGGAGTTTTGAAGAGACATTTCTTAACATAAGCCTAGATAAATTCACATAGCTAGGGTTGCTGGATTTAGCAGATTTATTTTATCTGGCAACCCTGCACATACTTCAAACTTGCTCTCTACTACACGGAGATTGATATCTCTCTCTCTCCCTCCCCCGTGTACACTCCCCCCATCCCTCTTCCAGGATCCTACCCACAGATACTCCACACCATCAGCCACACACTAACTCCAACACAGCTCAGCTCTGCTGATGTCTAAATAAATGGATAAAAAAGAAACCCCACAGCATGACCTTATCCTACTCCATTTCACCTTCTGAATGTCTTCATTTCAAAAATTGGAAATCAGAATAGCTTCTTGTCTTGCCAGGACTCTCCTCATTCCCTAGGCTGTCAAGTTTCAGGGTAGAACTGGTTGAGGCATTTGCTGCCCACATCCCCTGATTCTAATGCTTCAAATAAGATGCCACCAGCCAGAATCATGGGACCCTGTTCTTTGGGAGATAAAGGGGTTAGGGGGTAATGTAGTCTCTCTGCCTCTGCTGGGCTCTGCTGCACATTAGCTACTACTGAGATCCACTTTGGAAAAAGGGAGTATAAAAACCCCAGCCTTTGTTCTGTAGGATGGGGCACGACCTTAAGGAATCATTCAGACTCTTCACACACACTTTTACAGTAGTGGAAACTGAGGCCCAGGAGAATATGTTATTTGTCAGGCTTCTGAGGGACCCTAAGTTGGGATGGACCCAGATGAATAGACTGCCAGCCCAGAACTCATGGATTTATCCAAATAACTGCTTCCCTGAAAGAGTACTGCTCTTGCTTGAGGAGTGGGTTTCTGGTAGCTTCATATGCCTTTGAACTGGGCCAATTTGTTTAAAACAATGCCTAGAGTAGGTGCACGGGGGGTCAGGGAGAAGGGCCACTCAGAGGGCAACCCAGGGATTCAGGATTCGTTTTGTTTTCTTCCCTTCTCAGTGGTCCCTGCCTTTTCTGCCTATGCATTTAGCGTCTTCCACATCTGGCAGTGTATCTACAGCCTCATTTGAGTTGGTTGTGCCCTCGCAAAAACCCGCACACCTTCACCTTCACTTACGGGTACCCTAAGGCAGCCCAGAGGCTCTGCAATTATTGGTTACAATGTGTAGGTGGGTGGTTGGGTCCGTTTTCAGCCTCCTCCTTCATCTACCTCATACTGCCTATCTTCCTTCCTTGAGCAATCCAGAAAGTTAAGAGAAAGCTTTCTGGGGAGAGGGTATGCTTGTTCAGGATTCTGAACAAGCATACCCTCTCCCCAGAGGAGAAGTTGTTGCCTATTTATTGCAAAGTATGTGTTGTTTTCAATGGCTCCCGGGCCATTTGTCCCTTCCTTTCATAGGGGTTTTGCAAACTGGCCATTCTCCTCCGATCAGGGAAAGTAAAGCCTTCCAGCGATTACAAGGATAGAATTAAGTTGCACTGCTGGAGGAATTGGTCCAGAGACTCAGGCTGAACTATGGCAGGCGGCCCTGGGTGAGAGCTTGCATACCACCCACCTGCCCAGGGCCTGCTCATCTGCACCGTGGGAGGGCCCATGGAGGCCTCAGTTGGACCTAGCATGACACCCACACAGTTCTCCAATTTCGTTCAACAATTTTCGTCCAGCCTCAGGGAAAGCAGGGAGGCGGAGGCTAGCCCCTTCCCGGCTCCCTACAGGGTTGCAGCTCTGGAAGAAGGCATTGTTGGCCACAGCTGGTCTCCCAATCCCTTTCTCCATCTGGATCTAAACCTGCTCTAAAAAGTTTGGCTCCCTTGGCTCTGGTTGGAGACTAGACACTCCAGATCATGTGACCCACAGGGGTGGAACTCAGGCAGCCGGCATTGGGGTGTCCCCCGCCCCAGCCCATCTGCTCACCCCCAGGCACCTCTGTAGCCCTGCAACTCAGCATGACAAAGTTCAGAGAGTACGAATTTCTGAATTTCTGTCTTCCTCTCCTTCCATTACTTCTGGCCACTGTCTGTACCCTGCTAGCCCCATCTGGACTACGTGGTTGGGGGCTTGCTCTAGCAACTTGTGGCCCCAGTGCTGTGAGGCTAAACTCCCGTTTGTGGGAAGAGGGTTGCCAGCTCAGGAGGGGTTGAAAATAGTGCTGTTCCTGTACTGTGGTGAGCACCCGCTCAGCAGATTCTCAGAGTTAGTGGAGAGCACATGGTTTCACATGCTGGAGAGCAGAGTTGTGATAGGCCAGGGGAATGGGGGACCTTCCAAGTTTGTTGGAGTGGGAGCTCCAGTTCCTAGAATGCTCTGGTAGGTTCCTAGGTCCCTGGATCCAGGTGTCAGTCCTGTATGTATGCCTTCTCTTAGGAAGATAGTGGATCTGTGGCTGAGTATGCCCCTAAATGAGGGTCCCCTGTTGATCTCATGCTCTGTGTCTGCAGGGCCAGAGTGATCCAGGACCTCCCTGGAAGGTTGAGCATCCACCAAAGTGCAAGGTAGTGAGACCTGTTCCAAGAATGCAAGCCCACTTCAAACCAGCAGCAGGACCCTTGCAGGGAAGGAGGGTGTGCCAAGATGCTGGTCTGAGAAGGGATCTATGTTTAGGAGAGGTAGAAAGAAGTTCATAAAAGGATGGCGCTACTTGACAGCCAAGAAATCTGGCACCTGGCCTTCTTCCCACCAAATTACAGGCTACCTGCCAGTGGCACTTCAGAACTGATGCTCTTCGGAGGATCCTGAATTGGGACAGGGCAAGAGGGAGGGTGCCTAGCCATAAGGACCTGGTTCCTCTGAGTGGCACCATCACATTTAACCTTTCAGAATCCCAGAGTGACTGGTAAGACCATACTTCCCTGCATAGGAGGGAAGATACAGTTCCCGTGTCCCGTGGGGTAAATGCAGAGCCACATCACCCTGGCAGAATCTGAGCCTAGATGGGGTGGTGCACCAGCCAGAGCCGCTGCCTAGCTAGTGGTGGATTCCTGGGGAACAGCGACCTCTGGAGGAACCTTGCATCCACACAAAGTCAGGAACTTCATAAGATTTGAAACCAAAGCACCACTTTGCCAGCTCACCTCCATCTATCCCTTTAGCAAAGTCATCCTGAGATTCAATCTTTGGACTCTACTCATTGCTCATTTGTTTCCTTTTCCAGTTCGTACCCAGGCTTCAAATTCCTGCTAAAATTCTGCCTCGTCTTTTGAAAGAAACCTCCATAACCCAGCCTGTCCCCACCTCTTCGTGCTCTGAGCTCCTCAAAAAATCGAATGCCTATACCCTCCATGCAGGCTTGCTCAGCACTGTCTAGCCCACCTGCTTCCTGCCTCGCCATTCTCCAAAGACACCGTTAATCCACTCCACCCACCCCTTGGTAGCAAGCTGGGTATGCTGTTTTCTCTTTCCCCACACATACTAGTAA